CTCGCATTCTGGGGGAGGGTGGGCCTAGGAGAAGAATAACAATCTCATCCGACAGTCAAGCTGCAATGAACGCACTAAGATTACTTCGAGTCTTGTATGGCAATGCAGAGAGGCTCTGGATCGCTTCGCAGTGAGGCATCCGCTATCGTTATTGTGGGTATCGGAGCACGCTAGGATAAGGGGCAGTGAGACGGCGTACGCTCTGCAGCCAGCAAGCTCGTTGGTCCTGAGCCAGCTCTAGGAGTGCCCGCACATAGAGTTATGAGGAAAATGGAGACGTGGATTGCAAGACAGCACTCTCAGAAATGGAGCACTATATCCAGACATCTCCGCCAGGCACGGGAACTCATTGAAGGGCCAGTGCTGAGGATGGATGTTTCTGCTTATCTCTGGATAGAGCCAACCTAAGGTTGCCGGTGGGAATGTTGTCTGGCCATAATACGTCAAGGAGCTTGGACTCAAGGCGATGCTCAACTTCGCTAAAAGGGCGACGCTTGTGATCTAAGGAATGTAGAGGTGAATAAGGGCCGGCTTAAGCGGCCTATGCACTGGCTCCTTATGGTCGCCGGAATGCCTCTAATTTCACGGTTCATCCATTCATTCAATAGCGAACATTAAAGAATTTTAGAAAGAAAAAACTTGGAGGTGGAGGGTTGTAGGAGGTGAGGTGGGCTTATTTAAATTTTTTATGTTAATACTCCCAACCTGGTAATTCTACGCTCCTATTAGACATATTTCACACATCATAGATTTCTCTGTTCGTTAGCTCTTAAAACTTAATAAAAATATACTTGGCAGACGGGACGCGTACCTCGTCACAGCATAGTGTTTCCTATGCTCTGACCGCCCTGCCACGTCTGACCGAGTTAAGTATCGAGGAGACCTGGACCTGTTAGGCTGACTTTTTTTCTCAGTTGGGGTCTAGTTCGTCTTGATCATGATCCTTCGTGAACTGATAACGGCGTTGCGTGGGAAGTGCTGAGTCAACCTACTTATCGCCATTTTTTATATTCCATCTACCCTATCTGCTACATGCAAGCAACGTTTACCTCCACGTCGCATTTCGTTTTCTGTCTGGATTAAACCTCGTCTCGCATTTCACCCAGACCGTACTTTATATTCAGAAGTTTTTCCGTTTTTCTATTCTCGTGTTTCATATTGCTTTTTCGGTGCAGCCGATCCTTTCATAAAACTTTCTGTCTCGAACTTCGTCGAGGCAAAAACATCCATACAAATCCAAAAGTGTTTCGGGAACTTCAAGGTCGGGACTGGGGTACTTCTTTCAAGAAGCATCCAACAAGTAGAGTACAGTTTGAAGTTGTTTGCGAGAAGTTAATTCCTATATCACATTCTCTCATTCGGCCGTAGATTTAAGTGCAGTATCTTAGGACAGGTAGGTATCTCGGCGTTTTATTTTATGTCGGTATTTCATATTCAGGTTTTTACCTAGCACAGGATGGTGGTAGATAAACGATATGGTTAACATTTTTAAATCACTACTAATATATTATAAATATGAAAGGCTTTCTGAATATTTACAACAAATAAGCTCACTTGGACTACTTAGGAAGAAAGTACGGTAAGATAATGACTTTACCAAGGTCTCATACTCACCAAATTATTAATCTAAATAATAATTGGAATACCAAAGTAAACAAATAAAAACTATATCAGACAATATGCCCGGATATGTATAACTTTCACCCACAACATATTTTAAAAAGGTGTAAAAATCATAGAAGCTTCCGTAAATATTGTAAATTCTCATAATAAAACACAAGCAGCGGCAACACTTCGGTGAGCGATCTGTTCGAGAATGATCTCGATTATTTTGAACGGAATAAATACGCAAGGCGCGGCGACAGTTCGCTCAGTGTAAAACTGCACGGGTCAAAGTCCAGCGGTTGGGTTAGAGTTGGCCTGCAATTAAAAACATTATGAGCAGTAGTAAGAAGATGAAGACATATCATTTCCATTCGGAATGCGAAGAAAAATATTTCTTTACAGAAGCTAAAGATAAAGATGTATGTTTGTTGTGTAATACATCTGTTTCCGTTACTAAAAAAGGAAATATCGAGAGTCACTATAAAACTGTACATTCGCATTTTAAAAAATCATTCCCATTACGTTCTGCAATCAGAACGGAAAAACTGAAACAATTAAAAAATCAGTTAATTGGATAACAGACAATGTTTTTAAAAACAATCGACAAAAGTAAAGGCTGCAACTGAAGCATCATACCGGGTGTCCCAGATAATTACACAAAAGAAGAAACCTTATGAAGATGGAGAAATGATAAAACACAGCTGCAGATTCATTATTTGCCAACTTTAGAAATAAAGATGGCAATGTCTGCTATAAAATCTATGCAACTTTCTGCTAATACAGTGATGAGACGAGTAGAAGTAATGAGCAATGATATATTTTTACAGTTAAGAAATGACTTCGATAACTGTGCCTATTTTTCACTGCAGCTGGATGAATCCACAGATGTCGTTGACCCCTCTCATATGGCCGACTCGGAATTTTGGTGGTAAATTTTAATTCTTGGTAAGCGTTGTTCGTTCGTGTACACCATGATGAAAATGTTTTCTTTGCTGAATGTTTTCTTTGCTGAATGTTTTGACGTTGTCAGTTCGGTAATTGATTTAAAGGTGCGTTCACAGTGAAAGTTCAAAGTTGTCAAATCCATATTGGAGAACCCGCTATATATATTTAACAAGAAATATATAATAAGTATCTATTGCAAATAAATCTACGATCCACCGATTTAAATTTGTCATGCAGTGTCTATTTTGCCTTTCGATAGTTTTCGGATAATTGCTTTGTTGGCTTCTGAGGCTTCTTATTTTACAAAAAAATCTATTCAAAATGACCATTCCTTAGAATACAATACTAGAATTTCGTCACAGACCACTGAATCTTTCAAATACGCCAGGCATTTTCCTTATCATTTGGAATCCAGCAACTTCTGTATAGACTCGTGAGTTTTTAACAGTTAGGTAAGCGAGGCAAGCCCTCAATAAGGTCTATTTGAACTTCAGACCTAAACTTCCAAGATGATTTCCCAAAGGGCAATGTAAAGTTATTTATTTATTTTGTAAATTTGCTGGTGTATTTGAAGGAGTTTAGCAGTAAACGATAGAAATTGGATCCTTGATCTAGTTAATAATTTATTTGCCAAAAAGTACAGATTGTTGCCAGACCGGGGGCTGAAAATGATAAATAAAAAGTAATGCCACGGAATAAAACTCCGATGATTGACAATTTGTGTTATTTGCATTTCCGCAGTAATAGGTACATTTTATAAAATATATGGAAACACGCTATGTAGTTCCGTACTCAGGGCACTAATAAACTTTGGTTTTACAGAGTGACTGCCGGCAATTCAGAAACTTTGAACTGACACTCTAGCACCGGTAATTTAACTAACTTTAATGATAATTTACATGAAATTAGAGAAATGAAACATATTTAAACGCGACTCAAACATTTGAATGGAGTATTGAACTAAATTACAGCAAAAGCGTGTATCGTATTAACACGTTGAAAGCGAACAGGAAAATTAGTAAAAGGATAAAACTAAACTATACTAAGTGACATATAAATCCGAACACCCAGTTTAAATGGTTTTATTTTAATAAAAGTTGGTGAATGTATTTATCTTACTGTAAATAACAAGTGAAAAAATTTTCAGCCTTATCAGTTGGACATTCCGGTTTAAAAATGAATATTTCAGCCGCAGTAAAGAATCAACGTTGGCGGATTTTGGTTTTTGACATCCTTTACGATCGGTTACGATGCCCAGAGTACGGAGACCTGTACGATTTCGTCAACTTAGTGAGTTTGATAGGGGCCGTATAGTGGGACTTCGGGAAGCTGGACTTTCTTTTCGGGCAATTGCAGTTAGAGTGCAAACAAGTGTAGACACTGTGGTTATTTGTTGTCAGGCATGGCTTCGAGAAGGCCGTACGCAAAGAGCAAAGGGCACTGGACGCCGCCGTAGCACAACAGACCGTGAAGATCGCCGCCTAAGATTATTGGCCTTAAGGGACCGTTTCTCCACTACCAGGTCCATTGCAAATGAATGGCTGGCAGAACACGGAAGACCTATTGGCATGCGAAGTGTTTACCGACGAATGAGAAGTTTTGGCTTGTTTTCATACCGGCCACACTGGGTCCTCCCTTTAACTCGAGAACACCGACGTAATCGCCTTGAGTGGTGCAGACAACGGTCACTCTGGGATCAGGAATGGAACAGTATTGTCTTTAGTGACGAGTCTCGATTTTGTTTAGGCATGCACGATGGTTGTGCCAGGGTTAGAAGGCGACGTGGTGAAAGGAGGAATCCACAGTTTTTTGTTGAAAGACATGTTCATCACACTGTTGGAGTTATCATCAGAGGTAACATGAACGCGCAGCGTTATATCCACGAAGTTCTAGAACCCCATCTTTTACCCTATCTTGACACCCTGGCAGATCCAACTTTCCAACAAGATAATGCCCGACCACATGTTGCAAGAGTCACAATAGACTTCTTTCAACATAATGATTTCACATTGTTACCATGGCCACCAAGATCTCCCGACTTATCCCCAATTGAGCACGTGTGGGATATGATGGGTAGGACATTGCTCAATTTGCAACGTCCTCCTCAGACTCTATAAGCACTTCGAGAGGAGTTGGTGGTTGCCTGGAATGAGATGCCACAGGAGAACATTGACCACCTGATCAGAAGCATGCCTAGGCGCGCTGGAGAATGCGTAGCTCATCAGGGTGCATCCACACATCATTAAAGGTCAAAGGGCTTTAAAGCAGTGCAATCATTTTGAAATTTTTATCATTTACTTATTATGCTTCATTAAGTACTTATACAAAATTTTATTAAAATAAAACCATTTAAACTGGGTGTTCGGATTTATATGTCACTTAGTATATAATAAATAAATGTCAACGATAAAGTATGATACAGAACTAGTAACCGTATTATGCTGTGAATAATGAAGGTAAGTACACATCAAGGGTAAATTAGGAAGGAATTAATAAATAAAAAATCAGCGTAATATTAATATTGTCAGACATGAATGCAATATCAGGAATAAAAATTATATTGGTATCCCCAAACCAGAAAAGAATGTTCTATAATGGCCATCTATTTTCTTAGTCCCCAGGTGTTTCAATATGATACCGCAAAACCTATCTGTCATGCTCCTGGGTATAGTTTTCACTCATACTTAATATTCTTTCTCAATTAAACAATGTTACATATTAGTTTATAATAAAAATGCATTTCAATTTGGGGCACGAACCAGATGTGAAAAATCTTAATAAAAAAAGCTTATTTTGAACCTCCCAAATATAATTTTTTGCTTATTTTAGGTATTTTATTTAAACTGGGCCACTTGATATACCTAATCGTCTTATGTTATGACTAATCCAAGCCGTCCGAAAAAACAGTCGACGTTTCTTGATGTTCGGAAAATTTTTGATCTTTTTTGGCAATGAATGTTAACAATTCCCTGTAATTTCCTCTATAGTCAAAGTCATCCCCTTCAAAATGAACGGTAATTCCTGTTTTGCCAAAAAACATACGGTATCTAGAAGTGTGCTGCCTACAAGCTTGGTTAAGACAACTTTCGATTCTTGTTTTGCTAAACTGAATTAAATTGGCTACACATCTCACATGTAACGGAGAAATTTCATGTCTCCGCTTTAGAGCCCTAAAACTATTTAAATCGTTGACTCCGCTGCTGATCCACCCATTTTATTCTGTATAAAATAGAAGACATCGTCAACAATACAATCTGTTTTTTTGCAACCACATAACCAAGAGTTTCCATATACCAACTTAATGTAAAATATCAAAGTACGTTTTTTATTCCTTTTTAAAAATTATCTAAAGTAGGTGTTGGTCTTCTATTTTCAATTATATCTTTTTTTTCTTAAAAATCATACAAGGAGAATGACTTTTCAAGTAGTTGATCGATTACTACTACTACTACATCCAGTAACCAAACAAGCCCACATAATAGTCGCAGCGCCCCACGCACTCGGGCGACCGCGATCAGACACGAGCCGGTACCGACGGTCCCCGACGGACTACCAAGTGTATCCATAAATGAAAATGGTAACAACCGATAACCAAGTCGAGGCGAGTCAGCTTCATCGTATTGGCAAAACATAGACACTATAGGGTGCATTATTTTCTTGGGGCTAATTTGCTATTTACTGATGACTATTACATATCGCTGTTGGCAAACAAATAGATGATATTTTTTCACAGTACTTAGTAATAAAATATTTATTTTCAAGATTTTAAACTGTTACCAATGGTAACAATGGTTACATGGACGCTTCGCCACTGGCACGAACGTTGTAATAATTACCATCATGTGCTTAGCCACCTCCTTGAAGTAGTATACCTTGAGGTTATAAGTTGGATGTAACCATTTTGTATCGTTTTTGTATGTTAGTTAAGAAGCTTGATATGTGATTTTTAGTAATAAATAAGAGCTGTTTTTGAAAATATTATCCCGATACTTCCACGAGTTATGTACTTTGGCTCACTCTATACAATATAATTATTATATTGCATCAGAATTAGCTTATGTGGGTATTCCTATTATACGACTTTATAAAAACCGTTGTACCTTTTGTTTGGCAATCAGATAGTTATCAACTATTGTAGTGGTAGTTAGATTCATGAGCGGGAAATAAAAGTTATTTTTAACACCCTCTTTCGCCGCTGGTAAACATAATTCACGCGAAGTGTTTTTTAAGAATGTTATCAGATAAAGTCGCCTCAGAATAGTCCAAATAATAACCTCTGAAACTTTTGCTATATTCTTAGGGTGGAACGATGGTGGTCCAGAAGGATTTTCCGAACTGGACATTAAGATGTCCCTTTTTTCAAACGCATACCCTCTAATTTTTATCCATTTGACCAACTCAAAAAATAAATATTTTTGCGATCGGGATTTGAAAATTAGGGAAACCATGTATGGAGTTCAAAACCTAATCCTTATTTGTTAAATAAAACACTGCTTCATTTGTTTCTTATATTTTTTAGATTAGACAGTTATCATTAGAAGAACATTATCTACACATGACGCCTGGACTATCCGTAAAATTGATAATCCCATATTCTTTTGAGCTATTAGTTTTTGTGGTGTAGTTGAGTTTTACAATCGATTCGCGTATCGGCGGAGTACGGTTTGACCTATTTGCTCAATCGCGTTCGCATTTAAATAATTGCTCCATACTGAAATGTGTGATGGCACTGGTTTTGCATACGCATGACTACAAAAAAAATGGCAAAATGGCTACACATGTTTGAAATTCGATCATAATGAAAAGCACGTGCGTATCTATCGATGTGGATATAAAACAGAAATATAATTGAACATTAGTATGCATTAGCTTTAGGGAACTAACAAGAGATGTGATTGGAAGCATAACTCACAGTATTTCATGTAGAAACAATGATCAGGATTGATTAAATCCTCTACGAATCGTCAATTTGCCAAAAATTAGTGATAAATAGCTCTAAATAGTTGTGGACTAAGATTGTTCAATTTACACAAAATTTCAGAAACAGAATCAACGTGAAGCCTACATTACTCAAAAATAAGATATCTATGCTTATAAATAATAGTTTGAAAAAACACGCTTTTATAGCTAACCAAACTAAAAAGAAGAAAATAATTTTTAATTACAAAGAGTTTATATTGCAGTAGTAGATGGTCGAACAATCAATTATAATTAATGACCACAAAATAAAATTATACTAAAATAAAACCAACAAAGAGTAAGTCCAAAACTGCATGCATGCGCATATCGCGCGCTAGCTCTATTTCTCTTACTCCCCTACAGAGGTTCTATTAGAGAATTTATCAATTCCGGCGCTTCTAACAAGGATTATGGAAAGTGTGTTTGTGAAGTTATGCTGAGTTTCAAATTAATCAAATTTCTGGAAATTGGTGAAAATTATACTGAAAGATTGCATTACATACTCGTACATACAGGCCAAGCTTATAAAAGCGTGTTAATACATATATAGTATGATACAGTGGCTTTCAGGAAGGCAACCACCTCCGACTTATTTTTTGAACCGGCCAAGTTAGCGATCTGAAATTTGAGGCGATGAAATAGACGCATGAGTACGAGGTGAGAATGGTAGTTTTATATTAAAAAGAGGCATGGCGTGGCTATCTATCCCGTTTACAAAAATGTTACAAGACTGCGTCCAGCCACCATTCTGAAATTTTCAATTGCCGCTTTTACGCTGAAACATGGTATTCATGCATCAATTTCATTGCCCCGAATTTCAGCTTTCTAGCTTGACCCGCACGTTTATTATGTAAAAAACCTAAAAAACGTCAAAAAAAGACTAAATCTCATCTCGCAGACTAGGTAGTTCTTAGTGTGCAAATAGTTCATTCCATGCATCCATCTATGGCGGAATGACTCAACGACACGACACGCCAAGGCTGCTCCCCAGCTTGCATTGTTGGTTGCAGAAAGACAAGAAGTCTGTGGAGCGTATCTCTGAGAACATTTAAAGAAAGAAAGTTGTGAGTTGTGAGATAATTATGAGGGTTATTTATAGGTTGTCCTTTCTGAAGACAGGTTATGTTCAAAGTTATAAATTACGATTTTTCTCGTTTTTGAGTTTTCAGAAACTTTGACGAGAATTGCGAGAAATCACCACCGCGCCCGCGTTGTGTTTAATTACTGTTGGCAAGCAGGGATTTTCTTTTCTTATCCCTCTCATTTTTTAAATTCGGCAAATTTGCATATGTAATCTCCAGAAACAATAAGAAAAAGTGGATAGGCAACGAATTTCTAGGTTTGAATGCATCTCAAGTAAGTGTATTTGAGACAAGAAACCAATGGAGTTATCATCACAGATTATTAACACACAAATCCTCACTATGCACAAATGCACTGCCGCTTACTTACAGCTCAGACCTCCAATAATTCCATCTCTGAAGCAGATGTTACATCACATCGCAGCCAAACATTGATAGCTGAAACATCATGATGTTTAGGCAACACGTACAGCTACAAAACCAGTTCACATTAGGCAGCAGCTGTGGCCGCAGTAGTAGACTCTTAGGTCTCCTGATCAGTCGCCGTGCGCTGTGCGGGTTCGAATCCCGTCCCAGGAGAAATTTTTCTCTTGGCTATGGATGTTGTGATTGTCCGTAGGTGGTAGACGGTCTCTGACTGTCGAACGCGGAGGTACCACCCGGCGGATCTCGTAGGCGGAGCCAGAATGTGTGCATGTTGCATGCACACGTGTTCCCTCGCCAGAGTCTGTGTGGCGTTCCCCCTTTCTCATGTATCACCCTATAGCCCCACGGTACCCAATGGGTGCTTAGGCCTTAGGCCATCGTGGTAGTTGGAGTATAAAAAAACAACAAGTGTACAACAGCTAGTGCTAAGTTGACATCTTGTAGAAAAACCTACGTTAAGTCACAAAAAACCGATAAAATTCCAAAAAAAACGACAATATGTCAGTTTTCAAGATACGTAATACCCGTGGCCGTTCATAAATAAGTAGAAGGACACTTTTTTGAAAAGCACAGTGTAATAAGAACTACATTATGTAATTTTGTTCCTAACACAACCTACTATTAATATTATTACGCAAGCTAAGCGTCATTCGCATCTTTGATGCCATAGTCCTGTAAAACCATATGATTATAAATCCCTTCGAAAACTTATTAAAATACCTGATCTAACTACCACTAACTTGGAAGTAAGAACTTGAGCAAGATTGAAACCTCCCGCCGAGAAAAACTTGCTTAAGCGTTGCATTTTCCAGACGGGATATCGACAATAAGAAGAAGTTATCTCGCTGGAAAGCGTGGCAGATTGAAAGCCGTAATCAAATAACGCAGACACTATTTTACCAGGTCGCGGTGCATTTTAAATGGAATCGATAAGATCAGTCTACTGGAATTGGGTCTGCTCTGCCCCCTTCAATACGTTTCAAGTATTT